CCACAGCAACCTCTTTCAAGATACATCTCCAAAGATGGTTTAGCCCGGGTATTAAGGAGGGCACGTACTGCATGGAGCACTGGGTGTTATACGAAAACAATGAAGGGTGGATCACTACATCAAAAACTAATGATGTATGGTGACTAACATAACATAATAAAATAAAATTTAAGTAAATACAGTACTGTAAATGAATTTTCTTTTTCTTATGATTTAATATTTTCTGTAGTTTATTATAAGAGTACATAATACATATAGCGTACTGAGTATTAAGTATTAAGTCATTTTAACACTTAAAATGTTAAGTGTTAATCAACTGCTTGTGGTATCAGTAAGGCTTCTGGTCAATAGTTGGCTATTAATAGGTAAGATTTTGGGGAGTCAAAATTTATATATGGGTTTTTGGCTGTGTTTGGTGTAGGCACCCCTAACCCCCCTGTTGTTTAGGGATTGACTGTAGTCTTTTATGATCCTTTGTGTTTCTGTAGTATCAGTTGTAAACTCTCATTTCTGATTTTGAATCCTCTCTTTCTTGGTGAGGCTAGCTAAACACTTGTCCTTTTTTTTTTTTTTTTAATCTTTTCAAAGAACTAGCTCTTCGTCTCATTGATCTTCTATTGTCTTCTTAGTCTCTATCTCGTTTATTTCTGCTCTAATCTTTGTTATTTCCTTCCTTCTAACTTTGGCTTTTATTTGTTCTTTTCTTTATACCTCAAGGGAGGTATAAAGTTAGATTGTTTATTTGAGAATTTTCTTGTTTCTTGAAGTAAACCTGTGCCCTTATGAACTACTTTTACTGTGTACCACAAATTTTGGTATATTTCCATTTTCATTTGTCTCAAGGTATTTCCCTTTTGATTTCTTCTTTGACCTAATGGTTGTTCAGTAACATGTTGTTTAATTTCCACATATTTGTGAATTTTCCAGTTTTCCTTATGTAATTAATTTCTAGTTTCATCTATTGTGGTCAAAGAAGATACCTGATATGATTTCAGTTCTCCTAAATTTATTTAGACTTGTTTTGTGGCCTAACATCATCTGTCCTTGAAAATATCATGTGCATTTGAGAAGAATGTGTATTCTGTTGTTTTTGGATGGAATGTTCTATATATATCTGTTAAGTCCTCCTGGTTTAATATGTTGTTTAAGGCTGATGTTTCCTTACCGATTTTTGTCTGAGTGGTCTATCCATTTATAATCCCATTTACAGTTGCATCAGAAGAATAAAATAACTAGGAATAAATTTAACAAAGGAGGTGAAAGTCCTGTGTATTGAAAACTACAAGACATTAATAAAAGAGATTGGAGAAGACACAAATAAATGGAAAGATATTCTGTGCTCATGGATTGGGAGAATAAATATAGTTAAAATCTGCATATTACCCAAGGTAATATGCAGATTCAGTGCAATCCCTATCAAAATTCAAATTGCCTTTTAAAATAAGTAGAACAGATAATCCTAAAATTTGTATGGAAGTACAAATAAACCCCACAAAACCAAAAAGCCAAAGCAATCTTGAGAAAGAGAACAAAACTGGAGGTATCATATGCCCTGATTTTGAACTATATTACAAAGCTATAGTAATTAAAACAGTATGGTATTGGCATAAAAACAGACACATAGATCAATGGAATGGAATAGAGAGCCCAAAAATAAACCCACTCATATCAATTTATGACAGAGGAAGCCAAGATATACAATGGAAAGGACAATCTGTTCAATAAATTGTGTTGGGATAACCGGACAGGCACACAGAAAAGAATGAAACTGGACCACTATCTTACAGCATACACAAAAATTAACTCAAAATGGATTAAATACTTGAATGTAAGACCTGAAACCATAAAACCCCTAGAAGAAAACATAAGCAGTATGTTTTCAAGGAGTTTCAAGCTCCTTGATATAGTTCTTGGCAATGATTTTTTTTAATATGACCTAAAAATCACAAGCGATAAAATAAAAAATAAATAAGTGGAACTACATAATCTACAAAGCTTCTGAACAGCAAAGAAGTCCCTCAACAAAATGAAAAGACTACCTATTGGATGGGAGAAAATATTTGTAAATCAGATATCTGATAAGGAGCTAATATAAACAATTTACACAATTTAGTAGCAAAAAAGGTAAAATTTAAAAAATCAAACTACCTAACTTAAAAATGGGCAGAAAATCTGAATAGACATTTTCTCAAAGAAAACCTACAGATGGCCAACAGTTACATGAAAGGTACTCAGCATCACTATTCATCAGGGAAATGCAAATCAAAACCACAATCTGATAGCACTTCACACCTGTTAGAATGCCTATTATGAAAAAGACAAAAATTAAGTGTTGGCAAGGATGTAGCGAGAAATGAACCCTTGTGCACAGTTGGTAGGAATGTAAATTGATTCAGCCACTATGGAAAACAGTATGGAGGTTCCTCAAAAAATTAAAAATAGAAATACCATCTGATTCAACAAGTCCACTTTTGGGTATTTACCTGAAGAAAATGAAAACACTAACTCAAAAAGATATATGCACCCCCATGTTCATTGCAGCCTTATTTATAATAGCCAAGATATGGAAACAACCATCAGTGGATGAATGGATAAAGAAATTGATAAAAAATGGATTAAAAAGGATGAAACCTTGCCATTTGTGACAACATGAATCTATAGAGTATTACGCTAAATGAAGTAAGTCAAAGAAAAATACCATATGATTTTACTTATATGTGGAATCTAAAAAACAAGCACAGAAACAGACCCATAAATATAGAGAACAAATTGATGGTTGCCAGAGGGGTGGGGAGTGGGGAGATAGGTAAAATAGGGGAAAGAGATTAAGAGGTACAAACTTCCAGTTATAAAACAAGTCGTGGGGATGCAAACTACAGCATAGGTAATATAGTCAATAATATTATAATAACTTTATACAATGACAGATGGTAACTATACTTTCCCTAGTGAGTGTTTTGTAATGTATACTGGTGAAAGGGGTATAAATTTATTTAGAATCTTTAACCAGAAGAAATCTGCAGTTGCCATATTAATCAGACAAAACAGATTTTAAAATAAAAAGCATTACTAGAGCTAGAAGGGATTTAATTTGCTTAAAAGATATACCAATTCTAAACATATATGCATCTAATAAAATAGATTATATGCATCTAATAAAGTAGATTCAAAATTCATAGAACAATAAGGATAAATCCTAGAAAAAACTTGTATGAGTTATGAATCTCCCTTAGGGGAGATTTCAACAAATCTTTGTTAAAATAAGAGAATAATAGGCACAAAATTCAGAATAATTGTTCTTTGGTGGAGAGAGGCAGGGAGGTATGATAAAAGAAAAAAGAAAAAGTTTTATTTTGCTTAATTAGAGCAAACTTAAGATCATAAAATCTTAAACTAGGTGATGCATCCATATGTGTTGATTTGATTATATGTTTTAAAACTTAAATCTGTTATTACATATAATTTTGTAAGTATCAAATATGCCAAAAGCATTTTTGTTAAAGATTTATTTATTTATTTTAGAGAGAGAGTGTGAGTGGAGGGAGGGGCAGAGGGACAGGGAGAGAGAGAATCCTCAAGCAAACTCCCTGCAGAGCTCGGAGCCCAGTGCAGGCTTGATCCCAGGACCCTAAGATCATGACCTGAGCTGAAATCAAGAGTTGGCCCTTAACTGACTGAGCCACCCAGGTGCCCCCCAAAAGCATTTTTAAAAATACACTGGGAAAGAAGGACCTGAAAGAGATTTGTCTTATATCTCTTTGAGAAACAAATGTCCCTTCTAGTCTAGTCTTGCCTCTCTCCATGGACCTCACTCTCTTATCTTTATCTAGAAAAAAACCTGTTAGTTTATAGTTGGGGTTTAAAAAGCAGTTTTTCTCATTATTCCTAAAACATTGCCAAGGTATCTAATCCAGACTCATTGCTCATAAAAATAAACTTAACTCTATTTTTTTTTTTTTTTACTTTGTCAAGATCATGTAAAAAGTCATTAAGCAGTCTGATGGGCACCTGCGTGGCTCAGTCAGTTAAGCATCCGACTCTTGATTTCTGCTTAGATCATAATCTCACGGTCGTGAGATTGAGCTCTGCATCAGGCTCTCTCGTTCAGCAAGGAGTCTGCTTGGGATTCTCTCTCTCCCTCTGCCCCTCCCCCCACTTGTTCTCTCCCTCCCCCTCTCTCTCTCATAAATAAATCTTTAAAAAAAAATTCACTATACAGTCTGAAATGTAGTGTCATAGGGAATTGGTTAGTCCATATTTACTTTGCTGGGACACAATTTTTGATAAGAATATGCATTAGGTAATTCCATCAAGACATGACTTCACCAAAAACATTTTTTAAATTTAAAAGCATTTTTTCAACTTAAATGATTTTTACAAATTTGCTTTTTAAATTGGTTGTATATTTACGTGTTTTAAATTTCAAAATGTATAAAGTCTATACAGTGAAATTTCCTTCTTGTTCTATTCCTTGGTTGGTAAGTTTCCTTCCCTGGAAGTAAAAAATACATTACTGTGTATCCTTTCAGAGATACTTTATGTGTATATAAGAAAATATATATAAAGATCATCTTATGTGAATTATAGCACACTTTTTATGTCATTTTGTACCTTGCATTTTTCACTTATCAAAATAGCTTAGTGATCATTGAATATCAGTATACTTTCTCTTCTTTACATGAAAAGCTAGTATTCTACTGTACAAATATACCATAATTTATTTAGCTAGTCCCTGTTGGACATTGAGGTTGTTTCTAGTCAAAAGGACATTTAAAGCCAGATGTTGCCATAGTCAGCCAGGCAAATACTGATAACATTTATTTTGAATATATAGTACATTTAGAATATTAGATCCATATAAAATGTTTACTATGTAAATATGAATCTTGCCTTTGTAGAAATGACCATGCTGTTCAATTTCATGTAAATATGTATAAGTGTATAGCTTATATTTCAGGAAATAGCATTTTACATTAGTCTGTTTTTCTTTTCTTTTCAAGGAATATGGCACTGTTACCAGGAACATAGCAATCTTCAGGGACGGCCAAATTCTCACTTAACTATATATGACATCGGGTTTCAGACTGATATAAGCATGTACTTCCAACTGAAACAAACATGGTTTGCATTTAGTGAGTGGATTTTAAAAACTGGTTTTGTTAAATAATGAAAGAGAATCTTTGTCTAAAGGAAATCTTGGGTTGGTTTACACAACCAACCAATAAATGTGGTTTACACAACAACCAATAAATGTTAGATACATTTATCACTAATGTCATTAAAGTAAATGTGTCTATAATCTTTTTTTTTTTTAAGATTTTATTATTTGCGAGAGAGAATGAGCGAGAGAGAGAGCACATGAGAGGGGGGAGGGTCAGAGGAAGAAGCAGACTCTGCCGAGCAGGGAGCCCGATGGGGACTCGATCCCGGGACTCCAGGATCATGACCTGAGCCGAAGGCAGTCGCTTAACCAGCTGAGCCACCCAGGCGCCCCAATGTGTCTATAATCTTAATAGCTACAGTAAATGGCAAAGTCATTGAGGGGAATTTATTATATAATTTAAGAAAATAATACTTTACAATGACGTCATGCTATTTGCCTTTACCTTAAAATGATTTGGATGTGGATGTTTATAGCCATTAACTTGATATCCAAAAAAGGTGTTTTAAAAGGAAAAAACTTTGATTTTTCAAACTTGTTTTAAAAACGGAAAAAAGAAAGACCAATTTTTTTCATAACACTTTTAAACTATTACAGGAATTGGAATAATGAGTAATAAAATAAATTTACATTCTGAAATGTTTATTCAGATTATTGAATTAGTTAAGGGTAATATTAACAGAATTTTTAAAGCAAGGTGATTTCAGAGATAACTTTAATTTTATATTCCTAAAATGGTTTTATTATAATATTTCTCCCATTTCATGTTCTTTAATCAAGATTTAAAAATAATCTTTAATTACATTTTGCTTTAAAAAAAATTCTTCATATTGTTTAAGTTAGAGAGCCAAACAAGGCACATTCAAGGAGGCCTGGTAAGAAGCCCAGAGGTAGCCTCAGAGGTGAGCAGTATCTTGATGGAGGCATCATGGGTCCAGGTTTGGGTCCCATCTCCATAAATGTGAAAACTTGGTTTTGTCACTTCCCCGCAAGTCATCAGGCTTTCAAGGACAGGCTCACGTTACGTAACCAGTGTGCCATTTTAGTTGTTTATACTACTAGGCTACCCTTCCGGACCAGAATGCAGACCTATGCCATCCAGGACACTGCTTTCCTGGAATCAAGGCATGTGGGGAACAAAATTAATAATGAGTAGCCTTTTTAGCAAAGGGCTTTGCTTTGAGAGATTTTAATCTATAGGCTCTTGGCAAGCTTGATGACCTAGCCCCGCACAGAAGCCCCCCGCCCAGTCCCCCAGATTCCTTTTGTCCGGCACATTCAGTTTTTCTCTTTTCCTTGGGCAGTGCTGGATCAAAATGCCACATCCTTGTTCTTTGGCTTCCCACTTCCAGCTCACGTGCAGATTAATTCCCTTCATATAACAATTTTTTTTCAAATATGCTGCAGAAAGATGATTTCATTTGTAGCCATTTCTTTTTAATTATAAAAATCAGGCATCTTGGGACTTGTATCCTCATCACTTTTCCTGAATTTGAGTGATTCCATACCTTCTCAGCAATCCACTTGCAATTATCTATCATGTCTAAAGATGATGAATCTCATCATTATGTATTGAAACCTCTAGTTTTATTCTCAGGTGGATCTTAATTACAGGTTCTGTGGTCATTCCACTACTGTCTCTTAAGGGCTTTCAACACAAAAATTATTGACATGATCAGAATCCGCCACTGGAGAAGTTAAATGACGTCCTTTGAGGAAGATAGAGAGTTTGCTTTTATTTTCAAGTCTAGCAGTACCAATCGTTCCTCAAATGAGCCCCCACTTTCACAACCCATTTATTGGACATTAATTGATTACTTGCTCTGTGTTTGGACAAAATTCTAGGTATTAGAGAAAAGGGCATAATATGAAATTATACTCATTGATGGAAACACTGAAAATAAGCGGAGTTATACATATAAAAACTATCATTTTTATGAGTCTCAGATTGTGTTAGGAGATGGTTCTAATCTCATTTCTGCTATTAGTTATCTCAGTCTCCTCCTCTGAAAAGTTAGTTATACCAGCTTCTCTACAGGGTCTCAAAAAATAGATTTCCATTGTTTGCTCTTACTTAAACACAAGAAAGGAATATAATATATAAATTCAAAGGACAATAAAATTTCTCTAATCCTTGTGGATATGCAATTTTGTAAAGGTATAAGCTTCACATGCAATGTTATCAATGCAATTTCAGAATATAAGGTGATTCTTGGTATATCTCATTTTCTTAGGTTTGTCCGAAGATAATGATTTTAGCTTAATATGGCTATACCCCATAATTTTGGACTCAGTGTATTGTTTTAAGAGAATCAAATATGCATGACAACATACATACATACATAATTTAACTAAAAGAAGATGTAAGATCCTCTCACATCTCTGGGTTACTGGTTTCTACTAGGAGATGTTAACTGATGCGTGCTGTGACATCAGAATCTTAGTGGTGTAACATCAAATGAAATAATGAGTGTCCTATCACTCAAAGTGCTCAGACATGAGCAGAATAACTGTCTAGCAAAGGATGTAATAGAGCAGATTCTTTTGCAGGTGGGAATTTAAATTTCCATTAAGTTTCTTCTACAATTTCAGAGTCTATGATTAGCAGTGCTATATTTCCTTAATTTTAAGATCCAAACTTTTCACTTCAGATATGTTAATATCTGAAGTCAGGATGCATCTTATAATCAATGAAAAGACATTTAATGTAGGATTTCACTTTTCTTGAAAAGTTACTACTAAATTAAAGAGGTGTCTTTGAATTGATGAAATATAGTAATTAGGACCATTTAGCTTAAAGTAAAAAGAAACTAATTGAAGGTAGCCAAAAAGAAAAGAAAATTGGAACAAGCTGGGGGCAAGGCATTGGTACTTATAAGAATATAGAAGTGTCTCACCAAACTCAGAAAAGCAGAAAAGCAGCTGGACTTTCAGGTGTACTTGGATCCAGGAAACAGAAAGCCAAAAGAACTCAAGATTGCCTCTCTGCTGTGTTTCTTTAATACACATACATGTTATTCTGTCTTTGCAAATTCACTTATTTCACATAAAGGTGACATAGTTCATTAAGTTTATATAACTCGAAGTTCAAGAGGTCCACAAACTTCAATTCAAAACTGAAGTAGACTCCCTTAGTTCTAATCCTGAGACTTTTATTAGACAACTGGGGTTGGGTTTACATCCTGATTCCATCAATGGTAGCCATGATGGGTAGAGTCACAAAATAAAACTGTGGCAGCCAAGAGCCTGCCCTGTCAGTCAGCAAGGTCAGTTAATGAAGAGGCATTGTGATGCCCAGGGTGGACAGTTCAAAGAGTTTCTTCTGTAATGATTCTCTTACTCAATGAAGTGAAAGTGAAAACATCTGAAATAGAGCTGCCTACAGCAGGCCTTCCTTCTCTCACTTCTACAAATGGTGTGAAATGTTTCTACAGATAAAATGAAGCCTGACCAATTGAGTTGCTCAAACTCTAGCTAAATGTTTTAATCTAGATTTCTTAGCATTTCTTGGAGATTTTGAAAATGAATTTCTAAGATTAGCATTTTGGGAGAGGTAGCACTGCTTATATTATGGAGTGACAGAATTGGCAGAAAAAGTCCTGAAACTCAGTCCTAAATTTTTGCAGAGAAAGTTTGTTTTTTGGGTTGATTTGTATCACACACTAATTTTTTTTTTCCTGTTTAAAGTGATAATACTCTGCCTTCTTGAAGCGTTTATCATCCTCATGCTGATCTTCCTCAGGGAACGAATCCGCATCTCCATTGCCTTGCTGAAGGAAGGGAGCAAGTAAGTCCCTGATGGAGAAACTCACATAATGTATATCAGTCACTCAAATCAGTCACTGCCTATTGTGTAGATAGACTTCCCCTTTAAGACTTGTTAAACAAATCTGCTTTCCATTCAAGAAGACTGAAGTTCAGACTTGGCCACTTATTAGAAAGGTCATGCTAACAAATCCCTCAGTATCCCCAGACCTCAATTATCATAGGATGAACTAAGGCTGAAACCTGTGTAGCGTATGTATTAACACTTTTTGAATACCAAATGTATGTTAGAATAACATGTGAAAGTAAGTGATAAAGTGCTATGTAAAAGTAGTAACTTGTATTATATATTGTATTATTCCCCTGCTGAATCATATGTTAATATTGATGGTTGAGATCATTTGCAAAACTTTAAATCACCATAATTCTATAAAGTCAATTATGTGCTATTACCATTTCTATATGAGTGACAAAATTTGCTAATAGACAGAATAACTGATCCTAGGAACACCAGACTATACATTTTCTATCTACAGCTCTTAATTCAGAACACTTTATACCCAGAACCATTTTTGTTAAAAAATGCTATAAAATAAACACTAAAATTCATGCTGGGAGATAATGATACCTACAGTTTCTAAACTATTCCAAAAGTCACTTGAGGATAATACTTTAAACTTTTGAATAATGCATGGAAGAAACAAGAAAAGCATTACTATAAAGCCAACAGACCATTTAGAATGATGAAAAACTAAGTTATTAATGACCAAAGACCAAATTATTTTAAATAGTCTGTAAGGATTATTTTAACAAAATTGTCATCTATAATAAGAGTGCCACTTGAATCCAATGGTTTAAATAGTTAACAAGCAGTTTGTTAAAGTCTCTCTCCTACCCATAACTGAAAGACTATCATTAGCCACTGAAAACTCCTCATTTGCTGGGTTTATTTCTTAAATAATATATTGTAAAATTCACTGTAACTTGCCCCACTGTTACACGTGTGTGTGTGTGTGTGTGTGTGTGTGTTTGTGAAAGGGCCAATACAACTGTGACATGTTGATAATTTTTTTTAAGGGAAAGTAAGAGCTGGAATAAATTGGTATGAGAATACAGGGTAAACATAGAGATGCTCAATGTTTCGCTTAATAGCAGTATCTGGAGAAAGGAGAGAACTTAGCTCAAATAGTGTGGTGACAAGGTAACAAATGCAAAAAGCATCTAAGATATGCCAATGCATTGCATTAGGAGTGGAAATAGTTCCATCATAGTTCTTAGTGGTTATATAAAACAGTATTGGGTTTCCAGTGTCATATGCTGAAAAGATTATTCAAAAGTAGGAACAGGGCAACTAGGATGGTGAACATTTCAGACACCATGACTTATAAGGAAATACTAAAGGAATGATTATACTGGAGTATAAAAGAATAAGGAGTTCCTTGAAAGGCTGCTGTATGGAAAAGGTGATCATTTTTTCTCCAAAAGGTAGTGGATATGAGTAACAGGCTAGCTGATAAGGAAGAACTTTTTAATATTTTGGTTGTTAAGAGAATAGAATAAGCACTGTCATACAAAAGTAAGTTTTTATCACTCCATATGGTCACCAGAAACTAATGAACATATTTAAAAGATAACATAGAAGGGATTCCTGAATTAGGAAGGGATTCTCACATTTGATCAGATGATCTCAAGGTCCTCTCCAATTTTGAGAGTCTAAGAATCTAAACAAAAGGAAGAACTATGATTATAATGTATCAAATCTTTATGAGTCATACAGAAATAACCAAAGAGGAGAAGGTTTAGGGTATTAAATCTTTGAGTCATACAGAAACTTGGGGGAACTTTGGGGAACTTTTGACAGGAATTAAATATGAACATTAAAAGAAGGCCTCTAATTACTAAAAACAAATAAATAACATTTAAGTAAAATTTAAAAGCCAATTAAAAATTTTAATTTTTTTAAGAAAATGCCAGAATGATCAGCAAAAAAGAGTCAATGGTTATTACCACCATTCTTAGAATGGATTCATTTTAAAGCTTATTTCTAGTTTTAACAGATAAAGATTTAATTGAGAAATTATATCTCTGAATCATTTTGAATTTCAACTATTTGCTTTATTTCAGAGCCATTGGATACCTCCCTACTACATTAATTTATCCAGTTTTAACTTTCATTTTCCTCTCCATCTGTATTGCCTACTGGGCAGTGACAGCAATGTATCCTTCGGTAATTGACATCTTTAAACCTCAGGTCCACACTACTATTTAAGAACCAAGAGTTTGTGTCCAGTGCTTCCCATCCTAGGAAGACTCGGAACATCCTAAAGGGTTTTTTTTTTTCTGGTTGTTTTTTTTTTTTTTGTTGTTGTTGTTGTTGTTTTTGCTAAGCTCTAAAAAACTTTGTCTACTGATTGAATTTCCCCCAGATAGGTCATATGGTAGATTTTGTTTTGTCTTCACATATGGTACTTCTTGGCAATAACCTAAGAAAATTCCTTTGTATTCTACTGTTAAGGGGCCACTCAGTGTAGCTGACCCATGTTACATTATTCCAGGTCTGAAAAAATGTATGAATTATTAAAGGATTAGAAGTTTTTGAAGTTAATCTCTCTGCAGGCTTTTGAGTTATTTCCATTATTTTCTTGTCCATCTACTTTCTATCTACCAGTTGGAATAGTTTATCCTTAATAGGTTAACCCAGTTACTTGGCTACATCGGGGGTACCTATATACAAAGTCATATCCCCAGAAAGGACATGTAAACATGAAAATACAACCTGTAACCCAGAGGTAAGTCAAAGAAACTCTCTTTTACTTACTTCAATACAGAACTCTACTACATTTCACCTAGCAGTTGTAAAAATCATTGAGAAATAGAGACCTTAATGGGGACCACTGTTAAGAAGGGAAGAGTGGATCAGGTGTTAGCAGGAGAGCACTGAAATGATAGGCAGAATAGAGACAAAGCACTATTATTTCCTGAGCCCATGGAAGAAGCTGGAATGGTCAACAACAACAGTAATAAATGTGAAATTTTAGTGGCTGCAGACTGGTGACCATATGATAGAAAATGAAATACTTTACAGTGCTCATTAAGGAATAATATAAAGTGATGGGATAGAAAATAGGAATCACAGAGGCACCTGGGTGGCTCAGTGGATTAAGCATCTGCCTTTGGCTCAGGTCATGATTCCAGGGTCCTAGGATCAAGCCCCTTGTTGGGCTCCCTGCTCAGCAGGGAGTCTGCTTCTCCCTCTCCCCTCCCTCCCCCACTGTGATCATGCTCTCTCTCATGCTCGCTCACTCTCAAATCTTAAAAACACAACTATATGTTCAAAAAAAAGAAAAAAAGACTAACTGCAGAAGTTAATGTGAAAAGAGTAGGACATGCAATTGGGGGCTTACACAAGAAGAGAAGGCAGGGAATGTGTTATCTTGGAATGGCATTTCATACTATATTATCTGTATTTTTTTTTTCTGAGTGCAGATTTTTAATACAACTGAAATTGCCAGAGTTTGCCCTGGGGCTCAATGTAACTTTGCTTTCTATGGTGGAAAGAGCCTATACCATCAGTATGTCCCTACCTTCCAGATGTTCAATCTATTTGTCTTTCTCTGGCTTATAAACTTTGTCATTGCACTGGGTCAGTGTGCCCTTGCTGGTGCCTTTGCTTCTTATTACTGGGCCTTGAAAAAACCTGATGACATCCCACAGTATCCAGTTTTTACTGCATTTGGACGAGCCATACGGTAAGTTCCACATGGAATCCTACATCTGTCTTCCCAGTTATGTTTAGTGTGCTTATAATTCAGTCTTATGCTTATATAATTCAAGTGGCAAAATACAAATGAGGTCAAAGGTATGATTTAAGATTCATGGATGTCCATTGGCTATGTCTGGTTTTATAGCCACAGTTTTACAATCCCTACCCAGGCCAACATCCTTCTAAAAGCCATGGGTTGCTGAAGACAGGTAGTAGGGGAGGGCACCAAAATAAAAATGAAGAATTAACTTGACTTCTCTCCATTGCTTAGCCCAAACATTGTATTTTATGATGACAGGCTTTTGGTATCATTTTTGTAGATGAAGGGCAATATAGATGTATATCATATAAAATCCTCTAAGAAGACCTTTATGAACCTGAATAAGAAAGTGTAATAAACTCTTCCCTATCCTTCTGCAGATCCTTTTTACCTATTAAAATTGTTTAGCATCCTTTTAGTTAGTAGTAAAGATATTTTAACTTTGATTCTCATTTTATCTTTGCCCAGATATCACACAGGATCCCTAGCATTTGGATCTTTAATTCTTGCATTAATTCAAATGTTTAAATTAGTCCTAGAATACTTGGACCACCGTCTTAAAGGTAAGACTCCAGAATTCATCTTTTCTCAGACTTCTTGACTTCTGTAAAGAGAATGGATTGGGGCAAGGAGTTAAGGGAAATATGATGACTGCACGTTGGACTAGGGTAATGAGGATGGAAGTGGTCAGATTGGGGATATGTTTGGAAGAAAAAGCCAACAGGACTTGCTGAGAGATAGGATATGGGACAGGAGAGGATGGGAGGAGAAGCAGTGGCAAAAAAAAAGAGAAAAAGTGTGTGATGCCATTTACTAAGATGTAGAAACCGGGAAAAGCAAATTTCAAAGAAGAGATGAAAAACTGGTTTTGGCATGTTAATATTGAGCAGCATGGTGGAGATGTCAGGCAGTTTTAAGTCTGAAGCTCAGGATAAGTCAGGCTTAAAATATAAATATGGGTGGCATCATCATAAATCTTTACACATAACACATATAGTTTACAAAGTCTACCTTGCACTTTATTTCATTATTAATTGCCAAAATACTTTTCAAACAGAAAACTAAGTTGAACATTCTCAGTTACCTGATTTTAAAACTTAATATAAAGCTACAGTAGTCAAAACAGTGTGGTGCTAGCATAAGAACAGACACACAGACCTGGAATAGAATAGAGACCCAAAAATTAACCCTCACATATAAGGCCATTCAATGGGGAAAGGACAGGTTTTTCAACTAACATTACTAGAAAAATGGATATCTACCTACAAAAGAATGAAGTTGGACCCTTACACAATATGCAAAAATTAATTCAAAATGGATCAAAGACTTAAAACCTAAACGAAAAGTAAAACTCTTAGAAGAAAGTGTAGGAGGAAATCTTCATGGATGTTGGATTTGATGAAGAGTTCTTAGCACAGGTAACAAAGGAAAAAAAAACCCAGAATAAATAGACTTCATAAACACAAAATTTGTGCATCAAAGAACACTAATAAGAGAGTGAAAAGGCAACCCATAGAATAGGAAAAAATATTTGCAAGTCATCTACCTGATAAGCAACTAACATTCAGAACATACTAAGAGCTTCCACAGCAGCAAAAGGGCAGAAGAATAGGGGATGTTGTTTCACCTGATCCCTTGAATTTAGCTGGATGTCTATCAAACCATTCTGAACACCCATGAATTCAGCCTGAGTTGTAAGAAAACATATCTGGAACTCTACAAGTAGAAAAGCAACTGTTTTTTTGCAAGGTAGGAGGTGTGGGGAGATATTGGAAGATAAACGGAGAGGGGAGGGAGCCTCCACAAGCCAGCTACCGGAAAGTGATATAGCCCCAGAGGACGAAATCAGAACCCTTAGAAATCTGCTCCAGTGAGAGACATCCCTGTCTACAAGGGGCTCAGGGGATGAAAAGGGCAGAATTCTAGATGGGTCATTGTGGTCTCAGGATCCCAGGAGTCACAGAACAGATGGGGGTGTCTGAACTGGTAGAGCGCCCAAGCAGTGGAGTGGGGAAACTGGTTACAGTCAGTGAGCCCAGGAGGGGACTCTCAGCCCGGGTCACCATAAGTTGCGAGCCGAGCTGGTTGGGTGACCACTCTGCCTGAGCACTTTGAAAAGGACTGGAACATGCAGCCATTTGCCATATCCCAGAAGGGGCAAAAAGGGTGCACCCAAGACTGAGCAACAGCTCTTGGGGTGGTGGTCCTGGAAAGGACAGTAGGGTGACACCCAGCATCCCCTGGGAACAGTGGAGCAGGGTATGCACATGAGCCCACAATCACTCTCAGTTCCTGGGCACACAAAGGGCAGCAACACAGGTCCCTTGGACACCCACTAGGAGGATTACAGTGGCACGCACTGCAAGAGACCATGGAGACTGGCACACACAAAAGTGAAGACTATTTGTCCCAGAGGTTTATTGAAGAGGGGAGACTGCGATCTTTCAGCTCTGGGGCTGGGGATCAGGGCGTGGCCATTTTTATTCTGATCCTCTAAAGAGGTGCGGAAAGCCTCCAGGGAATAAAAGCCACACAGAGGATCAACTTACACTGAGCACAGCCCCCTGGCAAGGGGCAGTGCAACTCCAACCAGGCAAAGACCTGAGAAGCAGCAGAGAAATCCCCTCCCTTAGAAGATAATCTGGAAAAACAGGTGCAGAGTAGGTTACCGATCCCACAAGACTGTAAAATTTCAGTGCCAGGGGAAAATAGTATATTGAGTTTGAGGTTTATTCTCACAATTTGGTTTTCAGTCTGAAATTTTCCATTTTTTTGTGTTTTTAAATTGCTTTTTAACTTTTATTTTTTACATATACATTTAATAGGTATATGCTTCATTTTAGCTCTTTTTTTCACTATTTTGTATATAGATAAGTTTTGTTTTCTTTGCAATTTTGGGAGGTAGTGTCTTCTAACACACAGCAATTATAAAGTTAATAATCGGGCTAGAAAAAAGCATAAAAGACAGCAGAGAATCTCTAAGTGCAGAAATGAGATCTAATCAGGCCAAACTTAAAAATGCTATAACTGAGATGCAGTCTAAATTGGATGCTCTAACAGCTAGGGTGAATGAGGCAGAAGAGAGAGCAAGGGATCTAGAAGACAGGCTGATAGAAAGGAAGTAAATAGAGGAAAAGAGAGAAAGACAACTCAGAACCCATGAAGAAAGGCTTTAAGAATTTAATGATGCTCTGACATGAACAAATGTCAGAATTATTGGTGTGCCTGAGAGGGAAGGGGGAGGGGGGGGCAGAAGGTATATTTGAGCAAATCATAGCTGAGAACCTCACTAATCTGGGGAAGGAAACAAGCATTCATGTCCAAGAGGCAGAGAGGACCCCTCCCCAAATCAATAAAAATAGATCAACACCCTGACATATAACAGTGAAGCTTGCAAATTTTAGAGAAAAAGAGAGAATCCTGAGACCAGCTAGAGACAAAGGGGTTCCTTATCTATAGAGGGAGGAACATCAGATTAACATCAGACCTATCCACAGAAACCTGGCAGGCCAAAAGGGCTGGCATGATATATTCAGGGTACTAAATGAGAAGAACATGCAGCCAAGAATTCTTTTTCCAGCAAGGCTATCACTCAGAATGGAAGGAGAGATAAAGAGTTTCCAGGACAGGCAGAAACTGAAAGAATATGTGACTACCAAGCCAGCTCTACAAGAAATATTAAGGGGGATCCTGTAAGTGAAGAGGGACCCCAAGAGTAACATAGACCAGAAAGAAACAAAGACTTTACAGGCAATACAATGGCACTAAATTCATATATTTTAATAGTTACCCTGAATGTAAATGGGCTAAATGCCCCAATCAAAAGACACAGGGTATCAGATTGGATCAAAAAGCAAGACCCATATGCTGTCTACAAGAGACTCATTTTAGACCTAAGGCACCTCCAGACTGAAACTGAGGGGGTGGAGAGACATTTACCATGCTAGTGGTCCTTAAAAGAAGGTTGGGGTAGCAATCCTCATATGAGACAAATTAGATTTTAAATCAAAGACTGTAATAAGAGATGAAGAGGGATACTATATCTACTTAAAGGGTCTATCCAACAAGAAGATTTAACAATTGTAAATATTTATGCCCCCAACGTGGGAGCAGCCAATTATATAAACCAATTAATAACCAAAGTAAAGAAACATATTGATAATAATACATTAATAGTAGGGGACTTGCACACCACACTCACAGCAATGGACACATCATCTAAGCAGAAGATCAACCAAAACAAGGGCTTTGAATGACACACTAGACCGGATGGACTTCACAGATATATACAGAACATTCCATCCTAAAACAACAGAATACTCATTCTTCTCAAGTGCACTTGGAACTTTCTCTAGAATAGATCATGTACTGGGTCACAAATCAGGTCTCAAATGATACCAAAAGATTGAGATTATTCCCTACATATTTTCTGACCACAGTGCTTTGAAACTTGAACTCAATCACAAGAGGAAATTTGGAAGGAACTCAAACACTTGGAGGTTAAAGGGTATACTGCTAAAGAATGAATGGGTCAACCCAGATTAAAGTAGAACTTAAACAATTCACTGAAACCAATGAAAATGAAAACACATTGGATCAAAACTTACGGGATACTGCAAAGGTGGTCCTAAGAGGGAAGTACGTAGTCATTCAAGTCTCTCTCAAAAAATTAGAAAAATCCCAAATACATAAGCTAACCTTACACCTAAAGGACCTGGAGAAAGAACAGCAAATAAATCCTAAACCAAACAGAAGGGAAATGATAAAGATTAGAGCAGAAAACAATGAAATAGAAACCAGAACAGTAGAACTGATTAACGAAACTAGAAGCTGGTTCTTTGAAAGAATTAATAAGATCAATAAACCTTTGGCCAGATTTATCTAAAAGAAAAGAGAAAGAATCCAAATTAATAAAATCATGAATGAAAAGGGAGAGATTACGACCAACACCAAGGAAATACAGACAATTATAAGAATGTATTATAAGCAACTATATGCCAACAAATTAGGCAATCTGGAAGAAATGGATGCATTCCTGGAAACTTATAAACTACCAAAACTGAAACAGGAAGAAGTAGAAAATCTGAAAAGACCAATATCCAGCAAGGAAATTGAAGCCTTAATAAAAAATCTCCAACACACAAGAGTCCAGGGCCAATGGCTTCCCGGAGAATTCTACCAAACATTTAAAGAAGAAATAATACCTATTCTTCTGAAGATGTTTCAAAAAATAGACATGGAAGGAAAACTTCCAAACTCTTTCTATGAGGCCAGCATTACCTTGATCCCAAAACCAGACAAAGACCTTATCAAAAAGGAGAATTACAGACCAATGTCCCTGATGAACACGGATGCCAAAATACTCATGAAGATACTATTCCATAGGATCCAACAGTACATTAAAAGGATTATTCAGCACGACCAAGTGGGATTGATTCCTGGGATGCAAGGATAGTTAGATATCCCCAAATCAATCAACATGATACACCATATTAATAAAAAAACCATATGATCCTCTCATTTGATGCAGAAAAGCATTTGACAAAGTATAGCATCCTTTCTT